ACAAACATGCTCAACTCTCTCTCATACTGAGAACAAGAGAACAAAGCTGTCTGTGGACAATGTGTCCTTTTCTAGCCATAGCCCTGGCACTTTCCAGTCTCCAGATGTCCCCAAACAGTCAACTACACTTCTGTCTCCACTCCGCCCCGCCATCCCATTCATGCCCTCACCTGCTGCAGCCTGGCGGTCTCCTCACCTCCCCTGAAACGGTGCTCGCCGAGGTCAGTAGCGAAATTCAGCAGACACCTTTGTAGTCTTTGTTTCCTGAAGCTTTACCTGCATTTGGCGCCATTACTCTTTCCCTCTCGCAACATTACTTCTCCGGCTTTCTCACATCGCACTCTCCTGGTTTTCCTCCTGTTTCACTCACATTCCTCTCCCTGCCCCTCACAGGTTAATTCCCCGAGCTTTCCATCAGCCCAATTTTCTCCTAATTCACAATGCCTGTGGCCCATCTCATCCCCTCCTATGTTTGTAACCACCACTCATACACTGATGACTTGTAATCCTGTGTCTTCTCAAAGTGTCAGAATCCCATGCACACCTGCTTGCTGTATGGTTCCATCTGGGTGTCACACGGGCACATTGAATTCAGCGTGTCCACAGTTGGACTCCATGTGTCCATCCCCTGCCATCCTCTTCTGTAGCCCCTCTCTGAAGACAGTGACCCAAGCCTTCCCTGACTCCTTCCTCACCCTCACCACCCCTATCCCCCAGCTACCAAGTCCTGCTGAGTTTACCTAAAACCTCATGAGCTCGTGCTTCCCTTCTCATCCTATGGCCATCGCCCTGGCTGCAACGTCCATAGTTTAGCTCCAAGACTATTACAGTGTCCTCATAACTGGCCTCCCGGCCTCCAGCCTTGCCACCTTTCAGACTGAAATTTATGTAAAATGCAAACTATGTAATTCGGTTGTTTCCTCTCACGTAGAGGTGTGTCCCAGACCCAAGAACCACAGCAAGACCAGTCCAATCCTCGACCACTTCTCTAACCTCCTCTTCCCTCTTCCCTACTCTCTCGACAAGGGTGGTGAAGACCATAGTTGTTTGTTCGTTTGTTTTAATATTTATTTATTTGTTTGCACCGGGTCTTAGTTGCGGCAGCCAGGCTCCTTTTGTTGCAGCTTACAGGCTCCTTTAGTTGTGGCTCACCAGCTCCTTAGCTGTGGCATGCGAACTCTTAGTTGTGGCATGTGGGATCTAGTTCCCTGACCAGGGATCAAACCCAGGCTCCCCTGCATTGGGAGCATGGAATCTTAACCACTGTGCCACCAGGGAAGTCCTAAGACCATAGTTTTAACTTAGAACTAAAGGGAACCTCTGTATTCCCATAGCACCCTCTTTAAAAAACAAAAACAAAAACCCCTTATTGAGGTATAATTTACATAGCATAAAATTCACCTGTTTTAAGTTTAAATTGACCAAATTTGCCATCATTGCCATCACCTGATGTTAGAACGTTTCCATCGGTCCAATACCAAAGCACCCTTTTCATACCTTTTTCATTGCTGATGAAATTGTATTGAAATTGTCTTTTGTGTGTTTTCCTATCAAACTGGACCGCAGCTTCCTAAGGGCAGGGACAGAGTCTCACTCTCCTCTGTCGAACCGAATGCCTTGTCATTGATGAAAGCCAGCGTTACCGAACTTGACCACCAACTCTGTTTATCAGACATAGATCCAGCTGACTTGTAACTAATCCTCAAAGTTAAATCCACCTTCACTGAGCATTTTCAAAACCACTCACCACAAGGTCTGCAAAGATAAATATGGTTGTCTTTCATATGTTCTGAGGATTGTCGAATTAAGTATATAGAAACCCACAGAAACGATTACTTTGACGGGAACAGCAATGAGTTATATTATTGACTCTGTCCCTTGCCTTGTTCCAGAAAAGATTTAAAGTTGGGGTTTAAGAATTGCATGTCTTTAATGACCCCTCAGTAACTTGGTCCATATACGACCTTTGTGTATTTAGATTATTTACTAAGGTAGAGTTTGCACTGAATGGATATTGAAACCTTGGGCCATTGATGAGCTTGGCCGGTTACTCGCGGACATCCCAGCTTTCACGAGCAGCCCAGCGACGTGCAAGGGATTCCCTGTTTCAGGGTGTACAAATAGTGTAAGACCTACTAACCAGATATGACTCCCAACTCATAGACATTTGCCACACATGCCTTCCTGAGATGGACTTGCTTTTAATGAACTGACTCAGGTTGAGGCCCTTGGAAACCTCCTGTAGACACTATTCCTGCTATAGCCTAAAATATGCTGTGGGTTGGTATGTACCAAATTAGCAATGACTTTATAGGTCTGTCTGCTAGTGGCAGGAGAGGAAGGTTAAACCCACCCTGAATTATTCTGATGCTACTCCTTTCAGTGGTTGGGTGGGGCCCGTTTGAAAAAAACAAGAGGAGATACTTATTTGGCATATTACATGCTATTTCAGAATCTGGTAACTAGTACACAATTATACGACATCTCAGAATTTGGCTATGTCTTCAAGGGTGTTCATGCTGCATAGCTTTTTTTCCCCTTCTTTCCGTCAAATGTGTTTATGTAACTTGTGGCGAATTTAGCCATTAATGTCCACTGAAAGCTAGAGAGAAAGATTACACTTGGCGTTTCAGGATGATTTTCTAGACTATCAAATGTGTTCAAATGGGTTTTACTTTATGTCGCTTATTCATTCTGATTCTTTCAAGTGCAGATCAAACAACTAATATGATGATATAAACTTGTTCAAGGACGTGATGGGTGACTATACCAGGTGGTGAGGCTTTGGGGTCTGTCCACTCAGGGGGTTGAGGGAACGGAGATAATTCAACTTTCCCTCCCGTAGGAGTCATGGGGAGGGACATGTGACATGTGTGTTTCTCTGCTCTTCACAGAAGAGAAAAATAAACTCAGTCGAGGGGAATATCATGTCAAACTTTTTACACCTTTGATTTCTTAACCTCTTAAAACGAATGAACTTCGGTAATGTCCCCAGTGATAATTAAAACCCCAAACTCTGAGACATGTTGGATCATAAAAACAACAACAAAAAAAGAAGCAACTGAAGGCAAGTCCTACTTCCCAAAACACTCACAGAGTTCAAGTAACAATAACCTTGACAGAGGCCACTGCTGATGAAGAGGTAGAGTTGGGTCATAGTTACAATGTGTTTTTTTTTTTTTTAATCTTTATTGGAGTATATTTGCTTCACAATACTGTGTTAGTTTCTCTCATACACCAAAGTGAATCAGCCATATGCATACATATGTCCCCATATCCCCTCCCTCTTGAGCCTCCCTCCCACTCTCCCTATCCCACCCCTCTAGGTCGTCACAAAGCACCGAGCTGATCTCCCTGTGCTACGCTGCTGCTTCCCACTAGCTAACTATTTTACATCCGGTAGTGTATATATGTCGATGCTACAATGCTTTTTAGGCCAGAACCATGAGGCTGGGAAGTGTCCCTGGGGTGCATGGCTTCTTAAGGTACCAGGAGCCCGGATGATGACTAAAAGAATGGGGCTGGTAATAAAGGGAACAAAAGAAACTTTGAGCATCGCTGTGGGTTCAGAAAGCTGTAATTCTGAAGAAAAAGCAGTTTGCAGAGCTCCCTCAGTTGGCTTCCCGGGGGAACGGGCAGTCTTAGGAAACAGACCTCTACTTCCAGGGGAGAAAAACAAGGATGAACTTCAGGCCTGCAGGCCTTCGGGCCTTCAGAAAAACAAGGATGAACTTCAAGTCTTTTTTCTTCCACAACCAAGATCAGAATCGCATTATTTAGCAAAGGCTGAGTTTAGAAAAAGGAGTAAACCAAGAAATGGGACTGGAAACAACAGTTAAAGCCTGATGATGGTGATGGTGATGGTGATGGTGATGGTGATGGTGATGGTGATGGTCATGGTCATGGTGATGGTGATGGTCATGGTGATGGTGATGGTGATGGTCATGGTGATGGTGATGGTCATGGTGATGGTCATGGTGATGGTGATGGTCATGGTGATGGTCATGGTGATGGTGATGGTCATGGTGATGGTGATGGTGATGGTGATGGTCATGGTCATGGTCATGGTCATGGTCATGGTCATGGTGATGGTCATGGTCATGGTGATGGTCATGATGATGAATTTTATTGAACAGTTTTATTGAACTCTCACCGCGAGCCGGTCACTCTGCTAAGCATCTTACCAACAGTGCCTCATGCTCTCCCGGCAATCTTGCAGCACAGAGGCATCTCCCTCTCACAGATGAGGGAAGCAAGAATCCATGGAGTTAGTCAGCCTGCCCAAGGTCACAACGCTAGAAAGTGGCAGAGCTGTGGTTTGTCGTGTTTACCCGTACTGAGTTACGGTGAGTCACAAAACCCATGTCATCCCCCACAGGCATAGACGCACATTCCGTGTTCTGCCCTACAGTGGTAGCTTCTGCACAGAAGGCAGCCTGACCGCGAGCACTGCAGTCAGAGGGACGGGCTTGGGGGGCGAGGGGGCGCGACGCGAAAGGAGGAAGCCCCGATTCTCCGCAGAAAGAAGAAAGAAGAAGTTACTTGAAGCCTCCCGTTTCAAGACTCGGCCAGTTTTGTCACATGAACAGAAACTTATTTATAGCAATCTAGCTCCAGACACGTGAAATTGAAAGGGAAATAAAGTTCCAGAGTAAGGGGAGCCCCTGGTGATGATGAATTACAAATCTGCTCCTTCTCCCCTTCCTGTGGATTTCAGGGGCCTCTGCCCCTGTCCCTTCAGGACCCTCCAAGCAGAAACAAAACCAGCATCAAAAACACCAAAAACGTCATTCACTTGACAAATAACAAGAAAACCAGCCCCTGACGGGGGTGCGGGGGGAGGTATGGCTAGGTTCTTGCTGTTTCTAGGACTGGAAGTCCGAACTTGGCTCTGTCCCCGTGTTCCTTCTCAGCGAAGCAATAACTTGGAGAGGGCTAACGTTTGATTTACACGGAAAGATTGCTTGGCTGTTTCAAGATAAAAATTAGGAAGTACCTACCTTGCCACGGGTTTCTTCTCCTGGTCCTCTGTGAGAGGAAGGATAAGGAATCAGAGGGGAAAAACATTTTTTTTTTCAACGTTGCAAACCATTCTATTCCTCCTCCCCTTTTGGTAAAGAAATACTTAAGTTGCATGCATTCTTGGAGAGAAGTTTCAAAAAACACTCCGCCCACAGGAATTCTGTTCATCCCACCAAGTCTGCCTCGGTCCTGCGTGCAATATCTAACAGGCTCCTCCACTTTCAGCCCATCAGCGTTTTCTTCTCGTGCCTTTAATACTAGTGGGTTAGGATAACAGAGACATCTGCGGCTCCAGGAAACAATACTCTACTCCAGGCCAGAGCTCCCCCCTCAACAGGGAGCTCCAATCTGAAGTCATCGTAAAGGAATAAGAAAAAAGAGGCCCACATTTAGTTGAACTCCATTAAACTCTCCAGCTGGCTCTCTTTAGTTTTACCTTGGTTTATTCTATTATTTGGTGTCTGTTTGTGTAACTTATTTATTATAGTTACTACTATTCAGCATTGGGCGGGGGGGGGACTTCCTATTTATTAAAACAAACACTATCCAGGATTATTAAAATGGGTTGCTGTCTATATGGCATCGTTTTTGAAAATAAACCCAAGGGGAAAAAGAACCCCACCATTTTGGGGTGCTCTCCCTTTCCAAGCAAGGTGGGGTGAAACAGTACCTTTCTCTTGGGAATCCAGGATTCCACTAGCTGCAGGTAACTGATTCACTGTTCCCAAGTCCAAGTGGTAAATGTTTTATTAATATCAGGTCATTTCTACTCTTAACCTTGTAGCAGAATATTGGCTTTCTCCTTGGCCGTGAAATTCTGGCAAGTCCTTCTACATCAAGGAAGGAGATGCATTTTCTAACACAGGGAAAAAAGATGGAGAAGGAGTCTTTCCTTTCTCAACACAGGCAGGAAGAGGGAGATGGCGGGCCTAGTTGAGAACAATAGTGTCCGTCTTTACACTGTACTTCTTTACAGTGGGTAATTTGGCCCTGGTAGGACAAAGGTGAGTTCAGTCGTTGGATCTATAGAAATGCTGCAAGAAGTTTTGCTATTTTGGAGTATTTGAAATATCAGTTGAAAGTGAATTAAGCCAGGGACTTCCCTGGTGGCACAGTGGATAGGACTCCACACTCCCAATGCAGGGGGCCCGGGTTCGATCCCTGGTCAGGGAACTAGATCCCACATGCATGCCACAACTTAGAGTTCACATGCCACAACTAAGAAGCCAGCAAGCTGCAACTAAGGAGCCATAACTAAGACCCAGTGCAACCAAATAAATACATAAATATTAAAAAAAAAGAAAGTGAATTAAGCCAGATAGAGAAAGACAAATAGCATGATATCACTGATATGTGGAATCTAAAAAAAGATACAAATAAACTTATCTACAAAACAGAAATAGACCCACAGACATAGAAAACAGACTTATGGTTATCAAAGGGGAAAGGGGGAGGGATAAATTAGGAGTTTGGGATTAACATATACACACAACTATATATAAAATAGATAACCAACAAGGACCTACTATATAGCTCAGGGGACTATATTCAATATTTTGTAATAACCTATATGGGCAAAGAATCTGAAAAAGAATACGTATATACATACACACATGTATATGTATGTATAACTGAATTACTTTGCTATACACCTGAAACTAACACAACATTGTAAATCAACTATACTTCAATTTAAAAAAGAGAGAAAGAGAACAGAAAGAGAAATAAACGCAGTGTATTGGGTACTTCCTTAAGAAGGCAATTGTCGGGTAAGTACTTAACAAAATGCCTCTTAGTATGTCTGTTCTTTGAATTTATTAAGGCAGTGACTAATATTTTTTGACCTGACATTTTGGGCAAAGGGAGGAGGGAGTGATGCCTGGGTGAGTGTCTTCACACCTGGTACCAGGTATTGATGAACACTTAGAGATGGACGCCTGTATTGCATGTTCCTCACAACAGGAATTAAGTATAAAGTTATCAAAGCTAGTTGTGGACCTAAACCAAAGAAGCATCTTTTTTTTGTTCTGCAGGCTTGTCTGAGACGACAGAAATACAGAAGAGACCCAAATGGGAAGAAACGAGATCAATTTTGGGGACAAGAGACAAATTTTGAGAGATCCCAGTTTTCAAGTGGGTCATCTTCCAAACAGGTACTTAGAATGCTGGGAGACATTCTTTTGCTGTAGGGTGTCTGTGTGTGTGTCTTTGTGTGTGTGTGTAACTGACTTAGGAAAAAGCCAGCCCCAAGAGGAGATGCTGAAGAATCTTAAAGGGCAGGGTAGGGAGAGGCAGGGGCAGGAGCTCTCGCCCTGGGTGCCACCCCTGCCCCTCCTCTGCTGTGTGACCTTCCCCCTTCCCCCTGGCTGGGCCTCACTCTTCTCTCCTGTAGACCAATGGAGATGGTCTCTGAGGTACCACCCAAATCAGAAATGCTGCAATTCTTTGATTTTAAGAGTCGGAAGCACCGGGCCTTCTAAAGCACTGCATCATAATGTATCTATATACCTGTATCTATGCCTACCTGATCTGTCTATATTAATATAGACATATATGTGTATATATATATATGTAGGCTTATAGTCTTACCCATTGCATTGCTTAGTATAGTTTTTATTTCAAATAGAGTAAAATGCAGTAATAATTGCATCATGTAATAACTAGAAATTGTTCAAATATTTTTGTCTGGATGATAATAATAAATAATAAGATCAGTATAATATGAGAACAATATGAAAATGATGATTACAGTAGGAGTAGTTACCGTTACTTGAGTGATTACAATGTTCCAGTACCGTACTAGGCACTTTATACCTATTACCTTATTTAATTCTCATAAATCTCTATATATTTGCCTCATTTTACAGATGAGAAAACTGAGCCCTAGAAAAGTTAAGAAACTTTACTTAAGATTTCACAGCCGGTATGTGGTGGAGTAGAGTTTTCTTTCTAGGCAGTCTGACCCCTGAGAGGGTGCTCTGAACCCCTGAGCTATAGGATCATATTTCATGTTTAAGATCTTATCTGTGTGAGAGTTTTACTTATCCTACGTAAGCACTGAATACCGCAAGCTGCATTCAACAATGGTTGTTAGTATGGCAAATTAAGATGAGTACTATGCCTTTTATGAATTCTTATTTAATGTTTTATGCCTGAAATATACTCTAGAGGACGGACTCTCTTTTCTATCACTGGTGTGGATCCTCAGGATAGATCCTGGATACCTGATATCAATCAAGTTCTTGTTGGGGTTTCTTCTTTAACCTAGGATGTTCACATGGTGGTTATTTCATGTTCGAAGGACACCTTAAAAACATCAGTGGTTGATGTTTATGGATGTATCCCTGGGAGAGATCTATATTCCCTATTGAGGAACATAAAATCACACAATAAAATACTCCACCTAAAGCCTGAAGGTGAAAGAGACTATCTCACAATATCGGCAGCGCTGAGAAGAACACATTGCCTGCATCTTTTCATGTTAGCCAAGGACTAAATATAATGCCTGCTGCTGATTAAACTTAGGGAGTGAGATTAATCCAAAACTCAAATCTAGTTTGGCTCGAACAACACATTTTTAGCATTAAGATAAATTCTCACAGTTTTGCACTTAGAAACAAAAATCAAGGACAGATGAAAAAAAATGTAATTTCAGTCAAACAGTAGCATGAAGCCATATTCCTCGTTTGGAATTACTGAACAAATGGGCAGCTGGGTTCTTCTGTTTTCATGCAAAGACTCATAGGCAGAGTCTTGGCCATTTCGCATGGCAACACTCATGCATTTGGGATATTCTAGAACTTGAAGGTTCACGCTCCTCTCCACAAACTGTGTTTAGGGGACAAACTGGTGACAGATTCCTGTAGTTCCCTTCTTCATGCTACACAAATTACTCATTCTTTAAGGCATCATTGCAAAACACTCAGACCACATCTAAAAAAGGAGGCAGCTGTACATATAAAAGTAATTATGAAATAAAGACAAAAATATGTGGTAAAGTGCATAAAACTGGCAATTTCTAAAGCACGCGAACAGGATTTTTCATGTTTGCTTTGTCACCGCACCTCAGTTTGTCGGAGAACTTGGAACAACATTACTTGATACTCTCGATTTTTTCCAGATGATGCTATCCCAAGGGTTTGGGTACTGACTGTACAAGTAACTTCCAAGTTGCACCTTCTCTATCAAGAAGAGTGACAAGATTAGAATTTTCCACAGTGAATTTCACCTCTGCTTTGCTCCCTGTGTTACAGATATTCTTTGGGGGATACTGGAGGATTTTGCCTCTGGATACAAAAGTGCAGGAAGGTCAGGGTGAGGGGAAGTGTCATGGAACGCATCCTTGTCAACAGCCATCAGAACTGTGTGCTTATAATCCCAATCCCTCCTCACTCAATCCTTCGACTTCTGCCTGGTACGAGTGAAGCCAGAGAGCCCTTATGACATTCAAACCAGAGCCCAGAAATCTTCAACTCCCACAATCATGGGCTAGTTTGAAGATTTCTCCTCCCAGGTTTGGACCCCCACCCAAATTCTGTGAAAATCTGGTTGTTCTTAAACCTTCATAATCTGGGGCTGCCCTGCTCTGTATCAAATCCTGAAGGAATGCAGAATTTATGAAACCTCTTTCTACAGGGTCCCCAAGGCCAGGGAGATCCTAGAGCTAGTTTCCCAGGATAAGAATGCTGGCACCAGGATTCCCTGGTGGTCCAGTGATTAAGATTCTGTGCTCCCAATGCAGGGGGCCCGGGTTCGATCTCTGGCCAGGGAACTAGATCCTACATGCATGCCGCAACTAAGAGCCCACACGCCACAACTAGGACCCGGCGCAGCCAAATAAATAAATAAATATTAAAAAAAAAAAAAAAAAAGAATGCTAGCACCTCCCAAAGGAGAACCCAGGCCGGACTGATGCAATTTCCAGAGCTTAGTGTATGGAATGTCACATCAGGCACTAGAGCTGCAAAAGATCCTCGGTCAATCAGGAAGTGGCAGGAGAAAGATAGAGTCCAATGAGACAGTGTAAACCCAACCCAAGCCCTCTTACCTAGGGAACATTTCCCTGAGTATTTTCCTTCTAGAAATTGCTGTGGCTGAAAACTCAAAAGAACATTTTGTCCCTGATTTGAGAAGGCAAGTTCATTCCCTGATTGAGTGGGTTGTGT